CATCGACGCGGATTTCCAACGGAATTTGCTGGACCTGATTTGACCTACCTACTGTCGAAATGAGGTTCTTCTCCAGTGGAGGAGAACTGCCGAGCGACGTTTTCTTCAACTGGGACAGGGCCGTTTCTTTTTTTTACCTTTGGCAACGTTTCGCTGGCAGGAGCACCTGCGGCAGGCTTTAGATTAGCCGCCAGACTCAGGGGGTGCAGAGAGCGCAGCGGGCGAACGAACAGTGAACTCTACACCTGTGGGAAGTGTAGGTTGTGGGCAGGTTGGGGTTTGTTTCAGAAGAAGGTCTTTGAGACCTCTCAGACTGGTGGATGCTGATCCGAATTGCTTTAAGTCAGTACTTCCTTCAATAAAGCTTGTCAGCCATCCACTTTGAGACTTTGAGGTGTGGAGAGATTTCCAGTTCCTCTTCATGAAAACCTCCCTACCCAGACTGCGTCATCCCATCACTGTCATCCCATCACTGCGTCATCCCATTACACCATCGATGTCTTTTGACCAATGTGGACCACTCAGCCGCAGTCAACCAACTGTCGACCCGACCTACGTGGCGTTTCAGTGCACGGGGCCGTCTCCACCGCGCGCGGCGCGCGTGAGCGAGAGATGCTTACGACCCACCGAGGCCAATGCGACCGGAGGTGAGACATTTTTTGGGATTGGATACTTGTGGGATGGGTCTACCGTCTACCCTGGACTTGATGGGTCGACCATGAAAAACGACCGGACAAACGACCTGGTCCCGGACCGAACGTCGATTCCAGGAAGGAACGGTCTCGACCGGTCCACCGGTGATGAACGTGGGTCGCTTGCCATGTGCGCACATGCCACATGGCCACAAGAAGAAGAAGAGCGGGTGTGCGGCTCCCCCCAGTACTCGGTGATGAACGTATTTAACAGTACTCAAAACACATCGATTATGGCGTTTTTCAGTCTCGTTTTTTTTTCACACCATTCATCTTCCAGTGAAGTAGAGCAGCTGTTCTGCGTGAGAAGGGCGCATAGTAAGAGGGATCCATGGGTACCATCACCTGGGTACGTGGCTTGAAATGGAGCTTCTGAGAATAGGGCCGAATAGGGTGCAGTGTGCAGTGTTCTTTTTTCTTCTTTTCTGCTAGCTTTGCTCCTTGAGATAAAATGGGAGGATTCCTGAGACTTCTAGGTCTTCTAGGTCGTGCAGGCCCGTGCCATTCCAAGGAACCCATGTTTATGCCTCAATCGCCTCGCCTCGAGACACGGTCCTACTGGTGGCGCCTTTGAAGCATGTCCGTCCGGCTTCCGAAGTCGAGTCCGGCCCCCCGTTGCGCCTGCCCCCACAGCAGGACCAGAGAGGCCCCGGGCGCTCAATGTCCGGGGCCGAAGGATTCGGGCATGGTGAGGTTGGGAGGGCATGGCGCTCGAGTGGTGAGTTGGTCAGGTACGGCACTCCGGTGTTTCTCTGGTGGTGCGATGTGATGCTTCTTTCCATCGGTTTCGTTTCAGGGGTGAGCGAACTTCTCTCTGAAGCTCGTGTGGCGTGCAAGACGTGCGAAACAACCACCCCAGTGAGGCGGATCATTTTCTATCCATCTCTACACTCTAAGGTCTACCTTGCAGCGCTGCATGGCCATCGGCCTCCTGACCCGCCTAGCCTCCAAACGTCTGGACCCACCCACACCATCTGGCAATCCAACACCACCACGGAAGGGGTGGTTGTTGGTTGGACACTACGGACGCCATACTCACAGGGGGTGACCATCCACCCGGTTATGCCGTGATCCCCCAAACACCGAGCCCTTTTCGGGGGGCCCTTCTCCTCCGGCGCGTTCGGTGCCGAACGGACCGCCTCGTCCGTCCCACGCCGTCGAAGCGGCCGAGGTGACTCTCGCCTCCCAGCAGATAGGTTCGCTGAGCGCCTCCGAAGCGTTGCGCCCCGTGGGACGCTTTGGAGCGGGGCAGAGACGGAGGAGTTCTCCTGGAGAGTGAGGAAGACGGAGCGATTGAGGGGCAGGTGCAAGGAGCGATTGAGTACTCAGGTGTCCAACACTACAGAGGTCGGTCCAAGATGTCCAAGCATGTCCCAGCATTGTGTCCTGGTTACCATCTACTCCCACTGGTCTACCCTGTACTACTCTGGTGCCTTGGTTCTGGGACTAAGATGGACCGGCCGATCTCCCCTTTCCGGATGAAACATCTTCACAGTCGACTCAACGATGTGGGGGGGGCATTTGTCCTAGACACTCCATGGGACTGCCATAGGACTGCCGCCCCAGACAGACCCCCCTGGCACCAGCCCTGGCCGTTTCTCGGCATCTATGGCACACATGGAGTGTCTGGGTCTTGGAGGGACTGCGAACACCGAAAAGCGTCCTCGTCGTCTCCCGGTCCGCGCCTCCCGGAGCGCGCCGGTCCGCGCCGACCGCCCTTCCCCACGTCCCCACTGACAACGCCCCGCCCGTGACGGTTCCGACTGAGGGGGCTCGGGTTGTGCCTGAACTCGAGTGGTTCCTGGGTGGTTTGGGAGGAGGTCTCCCGAACACCGAAGCGTCCGGTCCGGTCGACCTAAAGGGTCGGGTCACACGGTCAGGCGGTCAGTAGCGGCAGACACACACGACCAGGTGGCCAGCGGCAGCGGCCTCACTGGTGGAGTGGCTTGGCAGAGACGACCAGAGGAGACTGACTGGAGGACTCGGGAGGAACCAGACGTGGGCAGACGCCCGTTGACGAAAGGGAAGGGAAAAGAAAGGGGATGCCGGGGAGGCTGTTTGATTCTTCTTAAGGAAGTTGTTTTTGGGTATGGTCGTTCAATCTTTTTTCCTTGTTCCAAGTTTGAGTGGGCTGGCTTGGTGTTCGCTTGCTTGTGTTCAAATTAAGGGGTTGCCTTGAATGTTGAACAAGTCAGTTAGAAAAGAACACCTTCGGATGGTGAGACCATGAGTGAGAGGACACTTCTTGAGTGCCACTTCTTAGGTCCCAAATGAGCCACCCATTTCACTCTGGCTCAACCTCTCTGGGGCGGTTGCATGAATTTTCCGATTGTTATTTGGGCCACGTACGACAGACGGGGAGACTGGCCCATGAGGCAAACGAAGAGGGGAGATTGGTGAGGATTTTGCACGGCGAGAATGTGTATACTTCCAATATACATATACCGGCCCCAAACACCAGATTCCGCCCAGGTCTGGCTGAGGTCAAGCAGACGTTGCGCAACGCAGTTCGAGGCCAGTTCCAGCAAGAGATCTGATCAGGAGCAGCCAAGGGCAAGACTGTCTGTAGGTTGGTTTCTACCTGTTTCTACCTGCTTCGAACGGGGTCTACCTACCGCTTGCAACCCTACAGCTGCCTACAGGTCTCCATACTGGCTCTTCCGACCTTCCGAGAACACTCCCACCTGCTGGCGGCCGAGGGCGCGAGGTGCCCTCGGCGGAGGCGATGCTGTTCACGGCCGGTCTGCCGGGGTGCCACGGGGATGCCGCGGAGGGAATGGGAGGAAGGATTGGGAGTATAAAGTGCAGTATGATGAAGTATGGGGGCTGGAAGGGGAGGGGGGGAGATTGTTTGGTTGTCTATTGCTGTATGGCGTGGACGACTGACAAGTTCTTGTTTTGCATCATCAAACCTGTTTGTGTTGGAAGGGCCCTTCAGCGCGACTTTGTTTGGTGATGGCTGCTTCATGGGTGTTGCATGGGCGTTGCATACAGGTTTGAAGAGCAAGTCACGAACTCGACTTCAACACCGGCACGGAAAACCAAGACAGAGAAGGTGCTTCCATCTTTTTCCCACCAGCCAAGCTGGCCACGTTGCTTCAAGCTAACCAGCATCCCTTTTGGGTCCCACTGTGTGCGCCACGGCCTGCGTGGCCGCGCCTGCGCGGCCTGCGTGGCGCGCCGAGGATTGCAGCCATCATGGATCGGGGCCTCAGGTCTCGGAGGTTTTTTGAGGGGAGTGGAGCCCACGAAACGCCAGGCGTTTCCAAGATGGAGCCCACGAACCCGAATGCAAACACATACGTCAAACCACTGTGTATAAAAAGAGACACAGCCGGTGGGAATCTCTTTTTCACTCTCTGACACGTTGTTGGACATCATGCGCTGGGGACTCCACCACCAAGGCAGCATGCGCTGGGGACTTCACCACCAAGCTCTGTCTTCATCATGAAGGATTTTTGTTTTGCATTCAAATCAAGCACTGGCGTAAAGGGTCTGGCAGATCCGCGGCACGAAAGAAACAATGGCATTGTCCCAAAATCTCGAAAATAAGCACTTGAAAATGATAACCGTCCACATAATACAGAGAAATCCACAATTGCGGCGTCTGATCTTCTTGTAAATAGGAGTGCAAGACCGTGCGTTGTTGTGGTTCGCCTGCATCGACAAGAAGTATATGAGACACACACACAACGGAAGTGAAGAAAACTATCCTATAGGTCCAACATTCGTATGGATATATCGCACACACGTTTGTTAGATGTGTCACCGGAGCCTCGAACAACAGACGTCTGGGTCCAAGTATTTCCAGCAATGATGAAGCCAAGATTGAGCTCCGTGGCCAACGCAACAAAGTCGACGTCTGTTGCCCAATGAGCATTCCCACAAGCTTCGAGAGCAGTGCTCACGGCATCCTGCAAAGACACCAGGGCCGCAGTGCCAGAACGCACTCTCTTGCTCCTCGTCACGGAGCTGTCGCCCTCTTTGTAGCGAACTAGCATGGCGTCGTCTGCAACTTCTGCTCCGAGAACATCGTTGGCGTCTTTCAAGAAAGCAAAAGGGGAGCCACGCAAGAGTGCGATCATGGACCAGTCGTCCAGCCATGTCCTCGCAGCTTCGCGCACCAAACACCCTACGACGAAGTTCAAGAATGCTTTTGGCGTCTTGGCGCGCATGTGTCGCCCGACAATCTTGCGGAGAGCAGCCGCGACCGTAATTCGGTCGTCCCAGTCAGCCACCTCATCGGAAGTGAAAAGATTCAAGAGTCGTGGGTGGAGTGCTCGCGCCTGCATCAGGACGACCGCAGTGGACAAGAAGAAGCAATCGCCGCCTCCACCAGCTTCGGCGGCAAAGACACGCAGAGCCCCGTGTTCTCGGAAAAATTGTGCCGTGGGAGTGGCCACCTCTTCCAGCAAAAGAGACCAGATCTCGCAGAAATCCGTTCGCAGCTGACGCCACTTGGTGGGGTCGTACTTCCTTTTGGTTCCCCTGAACTCAGTCACTACGCTCGCCTTCGTAGCCGCCGTCCAAGCCCCTGGGACGTACTGAAAGCGACCCTCTGGTGTTCTGCGGGCCGGTCGCGGTAGGTGTTCCGCGGCTGGAAAACCAGGCAGATGTCTGCGAGCTTCTTCGATGGCGGAGCGAGACAAAAGCGCAACCTCCTGCGAACAACGATACAAGATCGACACACGCGCCTGCGGATGGAATGCTATTTCATATCTTATCACTCGAGCAGGGTGAATCAATCCGTGGATATCCAATATAGCACATTAAACAAGCCAACAAGCACATCAGAGTCCTCCAGTCGATCCAAAAACTCGGCAATATACGCAGGTGGACCAGTCTCAAAGATCGAAAAATCAATATCGCCTTCTGGCGTCTCCGGCAAATTGCGAAATAAGGAATACTCGAGAGCTTGAGCGCGTCCAAGAATCATGTACAAGTGCTGCGTATAATCGTCTGCCGAAAAATAATCTGGCTTCGAAAAATCAATCGTGTGCCCAACTCCTTTGATGGTCTTGCCTTGGGCATTGTTGTAGGTTCCAGCAGCCAGCGGAGCAAGAGGATACTGTATCCGAGTAACATCCAACATCAAGGCTCCTTTGCGATGCAATTGCACGCGGAAAGAATCTTCACTCGGTTCTAAATGCCACACTCCAGGCAGAAGCTGTCCGGTATAATCTTCTTGCTGATCCTGTTGCAAGTCAGGTGTGACTCAGAGATGTATGGGTCCTACAGAATGTTAGATTAAACTGTCCAAAAAAAAACGATGGTCACAAACTGTGCAGGACACCTGTCTTCAGTCATATCCGCGTATAAATGACGTTCAGATTATATTTAGCTGCAGGCCCAGGCCTCAATACGCAAGGTAATCGAGGCAGGGAGATAGTCCAGGCGAACATATCCAGTCTCCCAGCACGGATGCGACCCCGCGGGGACTCCACCACCAGCGGGCGCGCCAGGCACGCCAAAGCGTTCGTTGGGATGAAATTGAATGGCGATCACCTCGGCCGGACACTCTTGCACGATTTCTGGTGGTAAAAGTTTCTTCGTCACCTTCACCTTCAAGCCCAAGTGCAGCGGTAGAAACGACATGAGGTTGCCAGTTTTACTTGCCATGTTGGTCAAGCCCAGAATCTCGCGCAGAATGGATTTGTCGTTGGTGAACTCACTTTGATGCACCAAATCCACTGCTTGAACGTAGTAGAGCAGACGACCTTTGTCATGTAGCAACGACGTCAAGAAGGATTCCTGCTTGGCGAAGAACGCTCCGAAGCGAGACTGAAAGGACTTCGAAAGATACGTCGGAAAGTGTCGACGAATCAGCTGGGGACGTCCAGTCTGGGTGTTGCGGAAAGCTGCAACGCCAAAGCTTGCGCGAGCAGACTCGTATGCGCACAACTGCTGGAGACGAGCTACCTGGTCCCAGTTCACTGCGCTGAAGACACCGCGCGCGAAGAAACCTGGAGGACCGGTGGGCGCAGTGGAACCTGAAGCCATGGTGTAATCGTTGCTCAGACGAGGATCGCCTCCCAGCGGGCGATACACCTGCTTGCGAATGGCCTCCTTCAGAGCTGTAGACAAGGGACGACCTCCGACCACTCGCATCGTCTCCAAGAGCTCGGCCAACGGATCTCCTTTCCGAAAGCGGTGAGAGCCTCTGAACAAGATGACCTGTTTCAGAAAGGCGCGAAAGACTGCAAGTCCATGTTCATCGATGTCGACTTTCTTCCTGCGCTGTTGGTCGTCCATCTTCTCGTATCGAGGCACCCCCGGAACTTCAATGCCGAAGGCTTCCATGAGGGATCTGGCTCGCACGGGGTTCAGCTGCAGGAAGTCACCAGCCAAAATCTGACACAAGACATTGCCGAAAATGTTACTCAGAAAATCCTCCGGAGACAGGTCCAAACGACCATAGCAGGCCGATCCGTGCAGCACTGCCAACAAATTCGGTGCAGTCAAGCTAATCTCATCAACAAAGACCAGCGAAAGCCGCCACCACTTACGCTGCAAAGCCTCCTTCTTGGTCTTAGAGGGCTTTTGCAGCAACAGCTCTTGCGCCCGTGTGAGACCAGCCATATGGTGGAACGTGCTTCCTCCTATGAGTCGAGCGGCAGAGTTTTGGGCAGCGACCCCTCGGGTGGTCCCAGGTAGAAACTCGTTGTAGACCGGGAGGATGACTTCTTTCAGCATGAAAGTTTTGCCGCTCCCTCCAGGTCCATGCACAAAAAATACGCGCCACCATGTCCTACGTGGGCGCACAAGCAAAAGGAACACGCAACAAGCCAATCTAAAATCCATATTTCGCCAACCCGGTGTGATCATTGCGCAAATGAAGTCCTACATTCTCTATGCAAAATACAAAAATCATGTATCCTTGCTACAAGCGATGTTTATGTCATTAGACGTTTAGTTTCGTCGATGGAAGCGCGTGGACACGCGAAATCTTGGACTCCGTAATCCTTCTCAACCAAAGCCAACAACGGGTCAAGTCGAGTGCGATCTCCGAAGCAGTGAGCCAGTCCAGCTTCGTTGGCTTTGTTCCACAGGCGCTGTAAGGGCGCGATGGCGAGGATCACAGCATTGTACTGATCTGGAGAGATTGCATACTCTGCTCCGTCTTGGTGAGTGGACTGAAGCACAGGTAGCTTCTGCTGCACCAGCTGCAAAGCTTTCTCAGCCGGAGACAAAGTTAACACCGCTGCCACAGGGGCCAAGCCGGCCTCAACGTCTCGTATAGAGATGTGTCCAACGCATTCATCGTCTGTGTCGTGCGCTTGACCCAGTTCCGCATCCTTGCGAGACTCCTGGAGCGCTTTTTGCTGTTGCAGGCCACTCAACACTTCTTGGGTGGTAGACGTCTTCGAATCGATTTCACGCCCGCGCAGACAAGAGCGTGGCTGCTGTAGTTCCTCATATTTCGTAGCATATTGCTTCACGAACTCAGCCGAACGCTTGGTGCTGGAACTGGTTCTGCCTGGACCGCTGGTTTTCACATTCAATCTGTGCGCCAAGCCCAAGACATCTTTTTGGTCCACGTGCAGGCGAGGTTGGTACTGGACTTCAGGTTTGATCGGGCAATCGTCCACATCGAGATCGGATCGGTCTTCCACCTCGCCCACGTCCACAAACTCAGCCCTCGCTCCCAAGTCGTCATCTTCGTCGGGAGCGACTTTGTGCTCTTGTGTCGGTCGGGGTCTCCGACGAGCTTCTGACATCAAATCCAAATTAGCACTCACCTCTCGACTGACGACAGCCACATACTCACCCGCGCTCAGCTGCTGCGGATGCCACCCGTAGGAGGCGCAGTGCACGGAAGAATGTAGACCAAGAATTTCGATGCAAGCTTTGATGTGCCCTGTAGAGTTTCCAATCACCGTGAGGACGTTGTCTTCGTCCATGACTGCGCCGACAAAGTCGAAGATCACACCCAAAACTCGCTCGCCGAGACGAGGTAGTTCATATCCAACGCGCTTGGGGGGCAGTCTGTTTCCCTCGACGACGGCGCAACTGCGTTGTCGTGGCCAGAGGTCGTCTCCGCCCAGTAAAACATTCCAACAAAAATTGCAGCGCGCCGCTGGTGTGACCGGCCCCAGGAACTTTGTACTCCCTCACGGCAGTCGTGTCAACTACCTTGCATGGCAAATTCGAAGAGAGCATTGACGATCTATACCATCTCGTGAATAATCATACAATCATTA